CGTAAGAGCTAGGCAGTGTTGTATCTGCGCTCAAAGTGTTTCACAGGCATTGAATGACAGTTTTTCACAACAGTCTCACGAGCTGTATAGATAAGATTTATCCTAGTGAGACTAGTGGCCCAGAGCCACAAGGGCATTTCAGTGGCAAAAGAGCAGTTATAGTAGGAGAGAACTGGAGAAAAAATAAAAAAGGGCCCCTGACCTGATGTATGACATTAGCATGATTCCCTGTTTATCCTCATGATAAAATGATAAATGATGAAATATTAAATCTCTTTTTTTTTTCTATTCTGCCTAAATACGATGAATCAATGTGCAGCACAAATTAATTGGCATAGTAGCTTATTGACTGCCCTAGAGGATGTGCTCATTTATCTCTTTTAATGCTCTTCACTGACAGTAATATTAGGCTGTTAAGAGTCACGGTGCAAAACGTGGAAGAGAAGACAAGACTGTGCCAGTAAAGTCTTTTAAAGCATTTTCTGTACCCTGAAGAGTTTTTGAGTTACCTTTCTTTTGCATCTAGATGCTTTGTGTGAGAAAGAAACATGACAAATATGAAGGAGGTATGTTGGATCAGGCATAGCAGAGGGAGGCTATGATACCCCTGTAATGATTTCTACTGGGAACTAGTCATAGAGGGATCGCAGTTAACAATGAATGGAGAAGAAATACTGCTCCTATGGATGGAAATAGGGTGATTTTGAAAAGTTCTTGGGATAGTTTGGAAGAACAGGTGTAGTAAAGAGTTCAGCATTGCTAGGATTTCACTTTCTACTAGTTGATCAGTTTAAAATACATAAAAGTACTTCGTTACGGAGAGTCAGTGTTTGTTTGAAATCAGTTGCCATGGAAGTGTATGTAGAAAAGCATCAGCAAGTTCAAAAAAAATAAATTCATTGCTCAAGCAGCCCTAGTCTTGTATTTGTGGATGCTGGAGGAGTACTGGGTGAATATACCACAGAGAGTGGCCAGACTTGCAAGCTTTCCCCAAGTATCATCTCTTCCTGCCACTGCTGGGCATGGAAAACTGTGTTAGATGGACCCCTGTTCTGTGCAGGGCTTTTCTTATGTTCTGAAATTACTTTGCACAGGAGCAGGAGAACTGTTAACTCTGTTGGCTTCACAGCCAAAAATACAACTAGTGATCTTCCTTACCAGGCTGTCAGGAACTCTTTTTTAAGAATTGATGGTTTCTTCCGTGTGTTGCCAGCCGTATTGTTTCCATTTGCCTCCCTGTCTCCTGGGAATGAGATACTTTGATGAATCCTGGAGCTAGGACTTCTACAGAGGAATGCAGGATGATAACCCCTTAGGAGCATCCTCTGCAGTGGATCTGTCAGCTTTTAGGGAATGGAATAATGGAGCTGATCTTAGGTCTCTTATAGTGATAGGTGGCTATGGGACTGCCAGTTCTTCCTGCTGCCTCTGTTCTGTTCTGCTAATTTCATGGGGAAATAACAGAACTCGAAGAAATGGCCACATGCCATTCCTGGGGAGGAGTCACCTGTCAGACCCTCATCTTTTCTCCGAGAGACTTGTGCAGTGCCCGAACAATTTTTGCTCTTTTTTTCATCCTAAAGGCATACCTAAATTCCTCCTACAGAACCCAGATAGGTGCATGGTTCAGGTCAGGGTTTGACAGCTATTGGTGTTGTCAGGTTCTGCAGGGGGTGTCCGTCAGAGATGAATAGGAGCAGTGTGGATTGCTTTTGGAGCTGTGGCCTCAGGTTGTCTGCATACTAGATTAGAATGTGCTGCAGCAAAGGCCTATCTAAATATTTCTGGGTGCAATCAAAAGGATTAGAAAGTGAAATGTTTTCTTTAAAGCTTAGTTTCAACAGAACCTGGGGCCAGCAGAGAAATAATAGAGTATTTCAAGCTATCGCTATCGCTGTTCTTGATCAGTCTCAAGAGTCCAAAGCAAACCTAGAGGACTAAAAGCAGTCAGTTCTGAGGAAATCCCTCTCAGATTTATCACGTGCCATGCTTTCCAGATGCTGTGTGGTTTTCAGCACTTCTAAAGTGTTGGAGATTCTTCCATTAGCCAAGGATGCTAGTGGAATTCCACATGCCCAGAGATGATTTTGAATCACTTATGGACGGGTTAACATAAGGAAGACTGACAGCTGGTACATGACTGGCAAATTCTATGTGATTGGAAAGGAGAGGAAGAGAATGAGACTTAAGGAATTTTGTTGAGGGATTGTGTCCACGGAAGGTATATTACTTCCTGGTTGGATTTGGAGGAGAAGAGAGGATAGGTGGATTCTGAGATGAGGAGAAGGGAGGATAGATAGATTCTGAGGTGAGGAGAAGTAATCTATCTAAAAGCAATCTTGGAAGAAATAACAAGCTGAGAAGGCCACAGAAAGGTGCCTGTCTGGGCAAGAGAGGAGGGCAATTTACAATTTAGAATGGATTGAGATTTCTGTTTAAGTAGTCTGTGGGGAAGGAGCAATAGGGGAACCAAGCAATGAAAGATGAGTGACTCTGAGTGTAGTCAACTCCTGCACACATCAAGTACTGGGGGGGAAAGCAGGGCAGTGGTTAGCAATTCAGGGGCCTGGCTCTCTTTAGTTCAGAGAGGCTAATGTTTCCCTCCTGCTCTCCCCTAAATGCTTCCATAATATTCTCTTCTACCCTTCAGGGCAAGCACAGTTTGGACAGCATCCAAACTGACAGATATTTACCTTTCAAACTGCTAAAACAGACCCCATTTTTTTGATTCAACACAATTTATTTAAGGAAGAAAATAGTTTTCCAGGCTAATCCAGACCATGGGTCTGTGCTGCCACATGAAGTGCAGTGCAACTTCACTGGGAGACAGGACCTGGCAGGGTAAACCGGACAGACATTTTAAGAGGGATGTGTGGGTAGAGAGGGAAGGAGAACAGCTGATTTCCTAAGGGCCAGAAATGATTTTGTGGATACTTCTTGGTAATAGGGTTTTATAATTTTATCTATCTTGTAATAGCAATCTGACTTCCTATTACCTAGCAATTTGAAGACTTAGACTGAGATCCAGCAGCTAGAGCATACCTGGGTTCTGTTCCGCGCTCTTCCACTGGTATGTTATGTGTCAAAGTCACTGAATTGTGGATTGTTTTCAAACCTTACATAAGTGAGTGAAGTCCCATTGACTGAAATGGAATTTTTCTTCTGTTGATTTGGCCTCTATTTCTGCATTTACTGGCCTTCAAAATGAATGTTTAAAAGTGCTCACCTCTCAGGATTTGGCTAGCCTAAAAATGGGCTTTTAGCTCATAGTATTAAAGATCAGGTGGGAGCACAGATGCTGAATATTTACATCCCTGTATAGAATGTTCATGTAGACATTAGCCAGTGTAAGCTCAAGTGGTTCAAGGAGTAAGTCTTCTGCCCTTTTCCTGGAGGACACTGTTCTATGCTCTGATAATTCTCCCTGTAAGGAAGGATTTTCTGATCATTCAACCTGAAATGTTATCCTTTTCATAGTTTCATTTTGTGGTGTTTCATTTATTATGTGGTGCTTACACCCTTCCTAAACTAGAACGCAGTGTTACCTCCAATTCTCTCATTTAATCTTTGTTTTTCTTTAGTCATACGTAACTGATTTTCTGTCTCCTCATAAATCATTTCCCTGAATCAAATTTGTTGCTTCTTCCTGAGATCCCTTATGATCCCTCCCTGAGTTCCTTATGATTTTCTGATATTTGGGGTGCCCATGGTTCATCTGTACTTGGTATTCTAGGTCTTCTTTAGGGGCAGTGGAGGAGAGACAGCAAGGCCTATCCCACTCTCTCCAGTAATTTATCCCTCTCTTCAGTAACATAAATCAAATTCTACTCCATTGCCTTTTCTCCTGCTCCCCAGAGAGCTTTCTTTTCTGCTTTTTCAAACTTACCTGAACTCCCGTGTGCTGAGTTTTCAGATAATTGCAGTGAAGCTCCTCCTTCTAATTACAACTCTTCCCTCCCCTACGTCGGCTGAGTTATTAAGTGATTTTTTCTTGATCTTGCCTGAGATGTTTGTCTTTCTCCTTAGCTACACCTGACTGTTATCCCTGAAGTGTTTATAATGCACAAAGAGCACCTAAAGAAACAAAACATACTGTTTTTCACATAACCTACATACTACCATAATATTTCTCTGACAGGCTGGGGACTGGGTAGATGGGCCCAAAAATACCTTGCTTAGCAAAAGTATTGTGCTGGGTTGATCCAGTTCAGTGCTGGATTAGGCTCCCTGCTCCTCTAGAGACTGTGAAGCCAGGCTTTGAAGTCAGGTTCTTAACAGTGTTTTGCTGTTGTTGGGTTTTGTTGTTGTTTTTTTAGTTTTTTACTTAAGATAATAAATTCGGGCTTAAGTTCTTTTCCTGGCTATAAAACAGACTTCCTTGAAAAATGCTCATCTATAATTTGTTTCCTCATCTGTAAGCATATTTATGGAAATAATGCTGTCCAGCTTTGAAAGTGTCGTATGGCCAGTTGTTTGTAGGGACGAACACCTACATCTGAAATGCAGTTACTTCTAGGGTGAAGTATGTTAGCAGTAAAGATATGTATTACCATAAATGGCAAGAGCTCTCCTGTCATGGATACTGCGCTGAAGAGTCCTGAACAGGTAAAGTGCAATTATGAGAGACAGAATTTGGAAAACCTGCAAGGGATTTGGAATGGAGACCTTCCAAGGGACTTTGCCAAAGCTGCAAAGGGTCAGGACTTAAGCCATTCAATAAGAACGCAGCTTATACTGTGAGTTAGATTAACATTGACCTGGGGAACCCCACTGCCACTAATGCCGTGAATGTCTCTGTTTGCTGGCAGCGTACAAAACAACTGAGACCGAAGGCTGGGGTGGGAGCATGTATGAAAGCACTAATACGATTCATACTGGGTCTGTGCAACTCTCTCTTCACCTGTAGCTCAGAAGTTGTATGAGGCGGTTGTATAAAAACAGCCAATTCTATATTATTGTGACCTGATTTCTGTTTCCACCTTCTGTCTTTTCTTAACCAGCGCTTCTGTGTGAAGACCTCTGTGCTTTAACTTGAGAAGGGATTGAAACACCCCAAGCAGCCTCTGAAGGAAGTGGGCTGTGATTTTTTTTTTGGAGATGGTGGAATCCACAGATAATCTTCATGGATTCTAATGTTGCCATCAGTGCAAGAAGAGTGGCGGGAATGGGTTGGCTGTGGATGGTCTGCTTCTTTCATCTAGTCACCTCCCTGGAAGGTAAGAGTAGATTTTTTATAATGTATCAACTTTCCAAACATCTTCTGCGGAGAAAAAGACGCATTCTCTAGTGTTTTTATCCTAGCCAGATGGGCTTTAAGTTAAACATCTTTCTATTTGATGGTTGCTCACTGTCTCATGAGATATGAAAGATATTAGTGTTGTTTCTAGTGGGACAAACAACCCCTTATATGAAGAACTTGTCCCATTAATGAGCATTTATACTAGTTATTTCAGAAGTGAGACAGTTTTGGAGAATAAACTCTTTGCTTCTGGCAATTAGGTGCTTCTTTATGCTTTGCATGTGTCCATTACTTGCGTTCCTGTTCTTGTACCATGTTTGTTTTGTGAAACAATTTCTGAAGGTTTATGCTGTTCTACATGGCAGCATCCAGTGGGCAGAAATAGGGAATTTTTGCATCTGCCATCTGAACCACTTGCCCCATATAATAGATATGAAGAGAATGCTTTGCGTGAACTAGAAGAGACAGTTTGTGATGAGCTAGCAGAGGAGAGGAGGGAGAGAATAGTGAAGACAGAGCAGAGAAAAGATAGGCTGGGAAGAAGAGAGGCCAAGAAAAGGGGAGAAGGGAGAACAGGTGGTAGGAGGGAAGGCGATAAATGCAGGAGCAGTAAGAGGGGCAGTATGGGAGAGAATTAGAGGATGGTAGAGATATTGTAAACAACCCTCTTGTTTGTTCCAAGAAATATCCTTGCAGCCACATGTGCTCACTGAACTGTACTGCTTTGTGATGAATGTTCATCTCTCCTTTTTAGAGGCTTTCATGTATGAAAGGAGGAAGGGAGAGGAACCCGAGGGAATCAGGGAAGGAAAGACCTGGAGGGAGGGAAAGGAGAGCAGGGGGAGTGGGGAGATCTGGAGAGAAAGAGGATAGAGATTGGGAAGAAAAAATGTCTTTTTTTTTCAGTAATTGAGAGGCAAGACTGTGGTTAAAACATTCCTTGCCTTAATAGGAAGGGAATAGAGTGGAGGGAGCTTGGAGAGAAGATAATCGATTGAAGGAGATTTATTATGTGTTTATTATGTGTTTCTTCTGAAATGGTAATAAAAGCCTCAAGAAGGGGAAGGAAGTGTATCTTTGCACTGAGATCCAGGGCTGTGTCACCAGACCTTGCCATTCATGATTTATCATGGAGCAAGAGGTTTCTTGTGGCGTCTTCAGGCCATAGGCTTCATGGGCTCATGAAAACTGCTGAAAGTGGATACCGTTGTAGCCCCTTGGCTTAACAGGGGACAAGCAAGTGTTATATATATATATTTTTTAATTTCTACCTTGTAGTTCGTGTCATTTCTGTGGGAGTATAGCATATAAGATTGTAATTGAAATCCTTAAATCTCTGCAGCTCTATTTATTGCAGAATTTTAAATGGTTTTTCAAAATACTACAGGTGTTTTTATGCCTTAGTGCAACTGATGGAGAAACTAAGATACAGAAGGGAGGGAAAACGCCTATGCACTCCAACTATAAAATAACTCATTTCTGTAGAAACTGTCATTTTCAGAATTCAGTGATCACTCCTTCAAGTTTGTAATGATGAAAGAATTTGGAGAACGCTGCATGATACAGCTTCACAGATCACATGCTTGAGTTGCTTGGATTAGAATGGGAAAGTGAAATTCTGCCTAGAAATCAAAAGGTACAAGTGCCTGTGAGCTACTGAATTGTGTTGGGGGGTCACATCTTTGCACTGTGACAGCACTGCGTGGTCTTAAGATAGCACTCCAAATCTAATTTGCATTTCAGAGATATTTGTCTTTGTTGTGGTCAGCAGGCAATGAAAAATTCTGCATTAGAAGGAAAGGAAGTCTGCTGATAATGCTGTGAAGAGCTTAGCTTTGCTGCAGACTTCCCCATAAGGGAACAAATAGGCCAATGGCCATTTTGTTGATTCATGATTCTGTATAATAGAAGTGTGAAACTTCAGATTTGGATTTAAGTTGAAAAATATAAGGAATATCAAGTTTGATCTTTGTTTTCTGGGAGGTTTCTTAGAAATCTTAGATGGTGCCTATAATATTTCTCACCTCTGAAGAGGATTGACACAGTGGGAAAAACCAGTCCAGATAATTTTTCTTGCAAGTGTTTCTCAGGCATTAGAATTTGATTTGGACGGTCTGAATGTATATCACTTTTTCTCTCAAACTGAAGGGTTTTTTTTAATTTTCCAGCAGTGGAAAAACAATACTGATAAAACCTTCATGTAAATGGTTAAGAAATGAAAGCAGATGCATTGTGGAGGGGGGAATAGCCAAAATCTGCAAAACATATTTCTATACATTATAAAGACAGAAAAATACTTCCTATGCAGAACACTTTCCAGGTGGGGTGAGGGCAGGACGTAGTGGGAGTTTAAACCTCTTCATGACTCAGAAGTAAAGAAGTTCTTGTAGGCAGTTTAAAATGAACCCTGGGGTTTGGGGGGGAGGGCAGTTATGCATAAAAAAGAATCCTTAGGCTGAAATAATTTGATACAGATCTAGTATTTGCATGTACTGATTTCACTAGGAATGAGCATGTCATCCAAAATTTTCCAGGTACGATTTTTAGACTAGAGAAAAACTTGCATGGGAAGAATGAAGTAAAACTTTTGGAAACAGAAAACATTTGTAACCTTGTTATTTTGACTTATATAAAAGGAAGCAATATTGCACAGCACTTCTCACTAAAACTATATTGCCCAAGTTTATGACTTTGTTCAAGAGTTCTTAAGGTTTTAGTTTGGGGGGTATTATTTTTGAGCTACATACTAGGTAAAAAGATACATTTTCCTGTTTTTGAAAAACATGGAAAGGCACAGAATTTTAATTTCTGTAAGGAGCTAAATTTGCATGTTATTACTGTTTACAGTTTAGCATTAAAGATTTTTGCTAAGTTAACTTTACTCAGTGTAAAAGGTAGGGAAGCATAGAATTTAAGAAAGTCTGAAGGGCTACAGGCAAAATAGCTGAAAGCAAGTCGTAACTTGCTAATGAAATACCTCTTACTAAGGCACAGTGTTGAATTTTCCTGTGGAATATTAGTTTTGGTTTGACTGAGTTATAAATGTTTACAGTTGCAGACACAAGCTGAGTTCATTTTGCTGAGCTTGTTAAATATATGCCAAAGTAATGATGTGTTCTGCATGTCTAAGTGACTACAGTTGTTTTACAGCAAACTGTCTAACCTGCAGAATGGCTGGACAGCCTTTTAAAGAGTCTTCTGGAAGTTCAAGATGTAGCGAAAAAGATATTTCTGCTGCTTCAGTAGCACCTTTTCCTAGTAAAATTCCCCCTTGGCAAAGGGGAACATGCACAGGAAAGATTGTGAGGTCAGGCAGTTTTATTTTAATTTTTCCCCTTCCTCTTCTATTAACTAGTTGATCATCTTGGATGATTGAAAATAATTTATTGATTGCTGGAATTGGCTTGGCACTGAAGTGGAGGAAAACCTGTATATTTTTTTCTTGAAGGTAATCTTCAGAGTCAAATGTGCCATTGCCTTTTGTTTTGTTATATGCAAATAAAGTTGGAAATGGATATTACTTCTCTTCAAAGGGAAAAAAAAATTTTACTTCTCTTGCTTGTGATTCACATGAGTTATTAAAATCCTAGCAGAGCTTTTCTGTTATGTTCTGCCCGCTTCTTTCCTGACACCACTCTACATGCCAAAATCTTTGCCACATGCTTGGGAAGAGGAAACTCCAGGAGTAGACAGATGGGAGATGGATGAGACTGGGCTGGATAGACTGCTTGTTTGGAAGGGGAGGAGCATCCAGGTTATCCCAAATGTCTGTCTCAGCAACTGCAAATAGATTACTGTAGTAATCTGTAGTTCCTGTGCTAGCACATCCTTGTTCCCAGGTATATGTCATAGCTCGATAATGAAACTGCTCAAGAGTTGCAGGATAGCTCTCACTGCTTGGAGGACAATAGAAGGCTAGTCAGGATGCTACTAAAATTGTTTATATTCAAAGCCAGGGAAAAGGAAGAGCTTTTCAGTTAAGTTTTGCATTCTTATAATAAGCAATAGCTGGGACTATGTGTTTCAGTAGAACTGTGGCAGACCCAAACTGACCTTTTTGATGTTTATAAAGCAAAAAATAAGCAGAAAAACATAAATAAACTTTAAAAATCACATCGTGCTGTCATCAGAAGCAACCAGTTTGATAGCAGTGGAATTATGCAGAAGGGTAAATTCTAGTGGTTGTTTGCACAATGAAGCCCTTAAGCAGGGAAAGAAAATATATTGTATTTCCAGAAAAGTTGTATGTCATTTGATTAGGTTATATATGCAAAGCTGAAACTAAGCATTTAATATCAACTTTTGTTATTCCGTGATTTCTCCTGCCTTAATTTAGCATTTCCTGAAGGATATAAAAGAATTAAGGCAGCACTTAAATCCTCTCAGTTTCCTAAGAACTTTAACAAGGGAGTAGGGAAGGCAAAGAGAGAAATGGATAGTAATTCACCAAGCTTAAAAGCTCTGCTACATTGCAAATAACTGTACCATTCCGTATCTTCAACCGGTTGGCTGACATTACTGTCTTTGACAGATGGTACATAACTCCTGATTGGGGTGTGAAAATTTCTCCATGCCGATGACAACTTTGATGTTCTGATAGTGTCAGCATTTTTCTCTGACATAGCAAGTAGTTAGAAACTATCATGGAACTCGCTAAATACATGTCCCATTGACTCCAGTTTGCTTTCTTGTTAACTGCATGCGAGTACAGAACTGATGAAGGAACATGCGTTACAGGAATGACTTAGCAATATTCTGCAGAAGATTTATCCTAGAAAAAATTCAGATTCATTTATCTCAAGTGGGTTGGGTTTGTATATGTGCTGTTACATAAGGAGGTATATTTTATAACTCAAGCTTGTTTGGTCATGTTAGATCATAGCTAAACTATAAAAAGATGTTTTTGTTACATAATTAAACAGCAATCTTTATATAGAGTAAGTAGGAACAAGTAGGGATTTTGAACTATACACAGCTAGTTTGGCTTGTTTTTTACTTGTTTAGTTCACTCATTCTTGAAAAATGAAATACTTGTTACAACTGCCTATGTCACTGCCATTGATATATTTATTTATTTCACCATGTTGCTGTTTAGTTTTGTAAGAAGTCTAGTATGTTTAAGGCTTCCCAAAGGTTTCTCTGTATTCTATTACAAGTGACAGCCCAAGTATATATAATTATATTTGTAAGGTTATGTGATAAAAGGCTTGTCTCAGCACACCCAAAGGAGCACCCAGAGGACCAATGATAGGTGTGGGAACCTGAATAACCAAATCATAGAAATGAGTGCCCTGACCTAGATTCTCCCAGGGCTACCACAGGAGAGTGATCGGCCTCATTTTTGGGGGATGAAATCCATAAAGATGAGTCAATGGGAAATGCTCTCTGGAGCACCTTTCAGACTGAGGGCGGTTACTACCCACAGGGTTACAGAACTTCTTATGGGATTCAAGGAAGAGCATTTGGCTGGCTGTTGTACAAAACTTACTATGGGTTGTTTAGGGGACAAACCATAGGCAGGGAGAGGAAGGGGTCAAGGTGGTTTGGGGAGGAACAAGGGTAGGAAAATAGAGGGATAAGGGGATAAAAGGAGCCAGTTGCTTGTAAACAGCTTGCTGATCAGTATGCTTGTCTTACAGTGCCCTATGCTTGATCGGCATAGTCTGTCCTGTCTTATTAAACTCAATTTTGTAGCCATTTTCCAGCCTTCTGCATGAGGGGGCTCTGTATTATGTGTGTGCATGGAAGTCTAAGTGCCAGCCACTGGAGCTGGACCACAAGTCATAGGGGCTCATGTGTCTACGGTGCAAGCAACTGGAGCAAGTGAGAGTACATATGTCAGTGTGTGATTGCTAGAAAGTATTGAGTCAGACTAAATTGGTGAGCAGGCTAAGTGCCTTAGGAAGCTAGGTAGAGACCAGAGTGTCTGTGAGCTGGCTGTTGGAGGGCCCAGGAGGTTCAAGCCAGCTACTAGGGACACTGAGTGTTCTGGGGGTCAGCTGAGAGACCTGTTTGTATGCATATGTCTCTGTTATTGAGCCAGTTGGAAGAGTCAGCTACTGAGGGGGACAGGAAGTCAAGGCGAACTCCTTGGTAGACTCCAAGGTCTGGCAGTTGATAGAGACACCCATTTGTATAAGTGTATCTCTCTGCAACTGGCAGCAAGACAATCCAAGGTCCAGCTAGGGGGTAGGCTGAGAGTCTAAGGCCGGTTACTGGAGAGATCCACATTGTATATGAATGCATATGTATCTCCTACTAACAGACCTTCATCCTGATCAGCCAGAGAGGGAAACGTGATGAGGCCATTGTTGCTCTTTGTGTTTGCATGACTGGTGAGTGTTTCTGTCTGTGTCGGTCTGTGTGGCTGACTCTATGTGTTTGTATGTGTATTGTATACATATGTTTGTGTGTGTGCCTATTGTGAATACGTACTCAGCCTCGCTACTGGTTGGTCCTGGGGGCATGGAGCAGCAGCAGCCTCACTTCTGTTGGGCTCCTGGATTCAGCAACCCCTAACAATGTGATTGCAGAAGCTCAGAGAATGTTTTGTCTTAGAAGGCATGCTCAGTCTTCCCCATTGCACATGCTTGAGGCATGGTTGTACAAGAGAGATACCTAGTAATATTTCAGTTCTTTTCAGGCACTCTTTTAAGCCAGAGGGTTTTGCTGCTCAGGACATTCAGCTGCATAGCAAAGCAAACTCTCTGCAAGTTATCTTGTGCCACTTGCAAAGGCCCTATCTTCCAGTGTACCTGTGTGCTGTAGATATTCAAAATGCAACTGGGCAAGGACTTGAGCAACCTGTTGTAAATTGGCCCTGCTTTGAGAGAGGTGTTGGACCAGATGATCACTACACCTCTCTTCCAGTGATTTGGTCATTGTTAGCACCAGCTTCTGGTCCCACAGACAAAGGGATTCTTTCTTCATCTTCTCAGGATCAGCTTTCTTCTTGGTGGCTCTTGTTTGGCTAGACTTGAGTTGTATGATTCCGCTTTATACTGCTCCACTGAGATGTGGACTGATGCTGAGGACAAGTTTTCTGCAATCCAGAAAGCTGGTAGGCTGTCTTTGCCTTCATAGAGGTTATCCCATGATTAGTCATCCTTGTGCATCTTGTTGCACCCAGGGAAACATTCTGCCTGTAACACAGGCACTAAAGTGTCTTGCTGAAAGTATGGTGTATCCAAGATCTGAAAATCATTAACATGTCTATCCTGGACAACCTGGTCTTAAAGTGGTAACTTTCAACCTCTGTCTAGTTAAGCCTTGTGTTGACATCACAGTTCAGTGCAGCCCAAGAGACTGGTTCATGGTATGACTGTAGCATGGTACCAACACAAGTCTTTGATATTTTTTTGTCCATCTTTGGTTTGAAAGAAGAGGTTCACTGTGAAATGAGAGTCAATTTTGAATGTGTTTAAGGTAGAGTGTAAAGAATCCATTTGACTCACTGCTGTACGAGATCTTGTAGAAGAATTTAGGAAGCAAAATAGGGGAGAGTTTCGCATCAGCTTTTTTTTTCTCTAATTTCAACTAAAATAGCAGTCTTAAGAAAATGGATCTCATCATTCAAAAATGTAAAGTTAAAATGGGAGTCAAGGAAGAATTTTCATCATTTCGTCTATTTAAAGTCTCCAGATTGCTCTAATATCCCAATTATTGCTCAGTTTTAAGCTAGGGTGGAATGCTACTTGGCTGATGCTTTCAGGTCACCTGGTATTGTCTCTAGCAATACCAAGGACAGTTCTAGTCCTGGATCTGATCTAATCTCCATACCTTTCATTCTGAGAAAGTCAGAAAGGGTATAGTCCATTTTTCTTCCAGGCTAATAAATTCAGCTGAAGAGACCATTGCTGTTTGCACTGAAGGGCAGCAGAATTCAAAATGATCTGGCCTAGGGCACTGGGGATATGGACTGCTCCATCAGTACATCTGAGCCAGCTATGTGCCCTTGTGGCCAGGGGTTGTGTTAGGCAGAGTGTTGCCAGCAGGTCGAGGGAGGTGATCGTCCCCCTCTCCTCAGCCCTTACGGAGGCTGCATCTGGAGTACTGTGTCCAGTTCTGGGCTGCCCAGTACAAGAGAGACGTAGCATTACTGGAGAGAGTCCAGCGGAGGGCTACAAAGATGCTGAGGGGACTGGAGCATCTCTCCTATGAGGAAAGGCTGAGAGAGCTGGGCCTGTTCAGGCTGGAGAAGAGAAGACTGAGAGGAGATCTGATCAATGTATATAAGTATGTGAAGGGAGGGTGTTGAGAGGATGGGGCCAGACTCTTCTCCGTGGTGCCCAGCGACAGGACAAGAGGCAACGGGCATAAACTGGAAGACAGGAAGTTCCATCTGAACATGAGGAAAAACTTCTTCCCTGTGAGGGTGAGTGAGCACTGGAGCAGGTTGCCCAGAGAGGTGGTGGAGTCTCCTTCGCTGGAGATATTCAAAACCCATCTGGACGCGATCCGGGGAAATATGCTCTAGAGGACCCTGCTTGAGCCAAGGGGCTTGGACTAGATGATCTCCAGAGGTCCCTTCCAACCTTGGACATTCTATGATTGTGTGATTCTGTGAAAGCGAATCCACTAGAAGATCGATGATGATGACTAGGTCATCTTCCTAAGCTCCCATGAACATTTGGTTACAGAGCTGGAAACAAAGGTGTCCTAGCTTTGTGTCCACATTTATACTCGTAAATGAAATGGGCAAGTGAGGCCCTATGGGGAATGGCATAGCCTGGTACATGCCCATATGACTTATCTCTCTGTCCCACCCTTTCCAAAGAGAGGGGAGCCTCACCTGTCCTGCTCATTATGAGAACTCTGGCCCATGCTGTGAGCATACCTACACACTGCCTGCGGGAGTTTTTGTCTGACCAAAATCATGCCAAGCAGCTTGCTAGCTAGAGCACAGCATGACTATATACCAGTGCCCAAGTCCCTGTCTTGGCCCTGCTTAATTTACTAGTATGGATATAGCCTGTTATACTTATCTCAAAGCATGAATGTGTACTCTGGGTATATGGAAGTCCTCTAGAAGAGAAGTACTTTTTGTTTTGTTTTATTTTCTCCAGAGAGTCTTGTGAGGGACAGATGAAATTTTACCATGACTTGGGAAGGCGCAAAATACTCTTTTTATTTAATTATTTTTCAATATAAACAGAAATACTTCTGGATACCACTGGAGAGACCTCAGAGATTGGCTGGACCAGCCACCCTCCTGATGGGGTAAGCATTTCCCTTGTCCTTTTCTTGCCCCCACCACTGGTGGGAAGGCAAGTGTGTAGCCAATGAAAAAAGAGAGATGGAGCCAATGAGGCTTGTTTTATATTTTCTGTGCATCTGAATAATCTGAACGCTGTACATTGTGCAAAAACAGATTGTTAAGAGAGAAGATTATTGGGTGGGATACTACGGCCTCCTCCTTGCCCTCTTCCTTCCCCCCTAACCTGAGAAATACTCATGAGACCTCCAGTGTCCCTGCACACAGCCTAACTATGGTAGAGTGGGGTAGGAGGGACTTGTGCTGTAATATTTTGTCCAAAGGATAGTCTCTTGTTTCTGTTTCATTTGTTTGTCTTTTGTGTCTTGTCTCTGGAGATGGGAAAGATGAGGAAGGAGGGGTGAAGATGTGAACATCTGACATTAAGATCCTGCCATATGACAGGTTTGCATGGAAGCAGTCCTTCCTTACAGCCTTTAATAGCCCTTCTTTACAACGTCATACTTTGTCTTGTCTAGAGTGTTGTACTACATGTGCCAGCAGTGGGCTCAAGTCCTGTCATAAGTGTGGAAACCTTTTCCTCTAAAGGGAAGAAGAAGGCCTGTCCTGCATTTTTGTCACAGTCAAACACTGAATCTCAATTTTTACTATTTCTTCTTCTTTTTCTCCCATATATCCATTATAGTGGGATGAGGTAAGTGTCCTGGATGACAAGAAGCGCCTGATCCGAACCTTTGAAGTTTGTAATGTGGCTGAACCAGGTCAGAATAACTGGTTGCGTACTCACTTCATAGAGCGGCACGGAGCCCACCGAGTACATGTCCGCCTCCGTTTCTCAGTGAGAGACTGTGCCAGCATGCGTACTGTGGCCTCTTCCTGCAAGGAGACTTTCACGCTCTACTACCACCAGGCAGAGGCTGATGTAGCCTCTCAGGAGTTGCCAGAGTGGCATGAGGGCCCCTGGACCAAGGTGGATACTATTGCAGCTGATGAAAGCTTTTCCCAGGTGGACAGCACTGGGAAGGTGGTAAAGATGAATGTTAAAGTCCGTAGCTTTGGGCCACTCACCCAGCGTGGCTTCTACCTGGCCTTTCAGGACTCAGGAGCCTGCATGTCCCTTGTGGCAGTTCAGGTCTTCTTCTACAAGTGCCCAGCTGTGGTGAAAGGATTTGCCTCTTTCCCGGAAACTTTTGCTGGAGGGGAGAGGACCTCCCTGGTGGAGTCACCAGGGACATGTGTAGCAAATGCTGAAGAGGCAAGCACAACTGGGTCTTCAGGTGTTCGGCTGCACTGCAACGGAGAAGGCGAGTGGATGGTGGCCATTGGACGATGCACCTGTAAGGCTGGCTACCAGCCTGTTGATGATGAACGAGCCTGCCAACGTAAGTGACTTTTTCCCTATCCCTTAGGCGGCCCATTCCTTGTTGGATCTCTATGTTAGTATTTGGTATTTGCCTAAAGATGACAGATCTAGGAAGTAAAATCATTTCTCACAGAGAGCGCTTAGTAACAGCCTCCTCTCCTAAAACTTTTAGTGCTGCAGACTGAAGGTAGAGGGACCACTTCTTGGTTTTGAGAACATGGTTAGAAACTCCATTTAGGCCTTAGTTCAGGCTGTGACCAGAGAGAACCTTTTGGGCTACATCTGCAGAATGGGCAAAAGCTGTGACTAGCCAGCTAGTAGCATGCTTCCGCTTCTCCTCCAAGCTGCACCATCCTTAGAGAGGAGATGCCGCAGAGTGTGGAGCTGAGCCCGGAGCTAATATGTTCAACCACCATAATTGGCTCGGGCCCTTTGCTAGTACTGTTAGAACCAGTGGTAACAAGAGAGAAGAGGAAAGCCTGATCATGGGACAGGGAACATTCAGCAGGGATCTGTGAGACTGGGTGGGTAAGAAACAGCGGTGATAATGCTACTATCGTGAGACCTGTAAAGTGCTTTCTGCCCTGGGGCACATGGCGTTTTGTGTGAAATGGCCCTAGGAGGAGGTAGAATCAACTGCATATCACCCAGTAACAGTATAGGGCCAAAATCTGGCCAAACTTGAACAGCCGATCTAATGTCATGAATCTCTACCCATTTCAAGCTTAAGACAATCCATTAGACCAAACTGCTTTGTATGGCGCTTGCATATATATAATTTTGGGTATTGCGTGCTTCTGGTGATTCCTCAGTTTTGATACACAACTGTGATAAGACATCACCAGGATCTCTTAGCAGTTGAAAATATTGCTCCACCATGATTCAGGACTCTTAAAAATATTAAATGTAACATGGAACCCCGTTTCAGCTGCTGGGGCAGTTCTAAAGATGGAGTGTAATTTATTCAAATAAAAATATACCTAGGATGTTGAGAAGTAAAAATATTCTGGTTAACCCCCTCAGTGAAAAATATACAGTATAGTTAATGATTGTCTATATGTTGCCTTAAATTCCTTTTTCATTAAGTGATTGAGTCAAGCAAAATAACATTATTAAAGCACAGTACTCTGAAAGTCATGGAGTTCATTATGCTGGAGACTTACAAAGGGAATTAAATTTATTAAGTGCTTTTTATTTGTTTGTGCTTTAAGAATGGTTAAAATGTGTGTGCCTTTTTATCCTACTTATTGTTTTAACTTAGAAATAGCTGGAATACCAAATTTCATTTTTTCTTTCTCTTGCTGGAAGGCTTCTTGGCTGATTCAGGCCTTTTGTAGATCAATATACGTAATGCTTAACTTCAGTTAGTCCGGAGAAGTTATCTTAATTTATTTGAAACCTCCTTTGGGTTTACATCACCAATTTGGTTACCCCAGTCTCTTTCCTGTCAAATAATATTCTTTTCATTCTCAAAGCCTTTATAGCATAGGAGTTGGCTCTGTGCTTGGGATGTCCTCAAGGACCTAAAGCAGTCTTTTAACAGAAGTAGCTTGTCTGTGGGTTTCCAGAATTGGTGCTGGATTTGCTTGTTCTGTGATACGTGCCATTTATACTTGCCTTTTGTTGAATTTGCCATCTGATCTTATGCTGTCAGCTTCTTGCAAGTAATCTTCAATTGATGGTCGGTTTGATATGTGTAGCTTCCCAAATAATACTTTATTTTGCATCAGAAATGACCTACAATATCATTTGTGTTTCTAGAGAGGTTTAACTAGAGGGGCATGGGGTGGTACAGTGACATTTCTGCTCTAGTCAAACTGTGGAAAACAATGGAGCAAGTCATTTGGAGTGTGGGCTTTAAACACTGCCTTGAAGCTCCAAAGAGAAAGGGAGTAAAACAGTAGGAAACTACTGTCCACGAAAGAAGGAATCTGTTCTGCATGACTTTGAAAGACTTTTAATTCTTATTTTGTGCAACCGTACTACAGTTTGCAGGAATCCTGCAAAGATGCAGCCTCAGCTGAAGCACACTCAAACCCTGGAAAAAATCTGGGTGCAGGTGGGTACAGTGGTAGTGACTGAAGACTGAGTCTGCAGTGAAACCTACACTTATTATGTGAAACTGTTTCTTAGAATACTATTTAATGTACAGCATAGAACGGATGAATTTCTAGTAGCTAGAGGACAACTTATATGAACTGCAGGACCAAAATCAAATTACTTTAGCAGAAAGGTGGTCCCAATAGCTCCATTTTCTTTGGTATTTTTCATATATTCATAGCACGCAAGTGGAGGAAACCACTGGAAGAAGTTTTTCAGTTGTCATGGTTAGTTATAAGGAAATTATTTGGAATTAGAAGGTACAAATTACTCCACAGCCTGCAGGACATTTGTTTATGGATCTTTCACTTTGAAAATCTGGTCTGCGAAATATTTTTGGTGTTTCCATTGTTTTGGTTTTTTTCATTATACTCTTTTGATAAGCTCATTAATTGTATTTTTCTTTGTTCACATAATTGAATTTCTCCTAGCAAAACCTTTGGGATCTTGTTGTTCTTTAATGCTTTAATGCAGGAGAAAGCCTGCTTAAGATTGTTATTTTTTTTATTTTCTGAAAGTATGCAGCCATAGTTTTCAGTGCACTGTGCATAATAGTATAGCAACTTTCTGAAAAGGGGATGCTTAAAATAGGATTCCTAGACCCATATTAAAGTACCTAAACATGCAGTCAACATCTGGCATTTGTGTTGATGCTGTGATATGCTAAGCATTTCTGAATTCCAACATGTTTGTTTCAGTGCTGCAACAATTTGACTTGCCATCAAATAGTTGGTAGTTGGTTTCTGTTTTGGATGCTGTTCAGACGAAGCATGCATTCCACAAGCTAGAATTTGATAGGGTTTTAGATGGGACAAACTGCACCTGCAGATTGTGTTATTGCCTTAAGAACAGTTGATTCACTTTAATATTTTCTTAACATGTTTTATTAATAATTATTTCTGTATTTTAGGTAAAGTATATGTAAATGTGTAAAACCTTAGGATTTTATGAATATAGCTTATTCTTACATCTTTCTTCAAGTAACCCTTTTAAGGGTTCTTCTCTGTTTTTAAGTGTTTATCTTGGGCAGTTTCAATGATCCTAAAATTACTGCTCGCTAAAGAACTTGTTTCAGTTTTTCATCACCTGAAACAGAAGCAAATTCTTTTTTGTCTTATTTTGTTTTTTATGTGTGGTTATTCTGCTCCTGAAATGATGTGTTGGGGCAGCTGTGGTTTATCTCAGGTCCTTGCAGATTTGTTCATTAATGACTTCTCAAGCTAGACTTCAATTAATGTATTTAAGAAAATATGCATACATTCGTAAAACATTGCTTTTTTTCCAAAATAACAATATAAAGAAAAACAGTTGCCATGTGCAGTATTTGCTTATATGCATTTCAGAAAACTGATTGATTTAAGTATTAATGATAGGTTTGCATTTTTTGAAGTTGCAGGATAAATATCATGTTGTTATTAAGCAAGCATTGATCATGTTGATGAGATAGCAAATTAATATATTTATTGTTTTTAATCTCTGAAAATAACAGGACACACTTGTAGGGAACTGGGTTTTGTCTTTCTCATTGGTTGATACTCAGGTACTTTCTTCCTTGCTTTCCTATACAGGCCAGTAAACCACTTCCACAGCAGGTTTAGAGAAGTTTCTTAAGATATCATGTGCTTCTTTGGACCTGCTTTTCCTGGTTTTCAAACTTTTCTAATATTGGTGCTCTGCTATTTCAATATTTCAAGCACGTTGGGCATTCTTGATGCCGCCCCTTATAAGGGGCAACAAAGAAAACTTTCTCTTTGTTAAACATTTCTTCCTTGAACTGCCTAAAAGTCCACCTTGCTTTTACTCATCCTTATATCTGCCTGTATGGCATGATCCCATACCACTGAATTCAGTGGAAGTTTTATCACTGATTTCAAGCTGCAAAATCAGGCAATTACAGAGGAAAGGATACCGTCCCATGCAGTGAACATGTGAGAGAGAAAGCGGACAACGGTCATACTTTTGATGGTAGATCATGTCCTATGTTATCTTCTCAGTGTATAGTGTTAAGAGCAAAAAGCTCAAACATACTGTGAAAACTTTGTATTGCAGTCTTCTGTTTATGTGCTTGACTTGCGTATTGCTTGTTGGTGTGGCCTCATGTAACCTTTTATGTCTGCTTCCACAAAAGAAAATCTTTTCTTCCTGAGCTACCTTCTAAGCTATTGCAGTTACACTTTAACCAGTATGCCCTCTGTGAAACAATTCGATCTGGCCTCCAAAAACAATTTTTAACCTGGGTCAACTCAAAGCAGAAAGTGTGTACTTTGGGTTATTGCTGCTGTTTTTTACATGATATGTCACTTATTAAGGACTTCTTGTTGTAAACATAATATTATAAATAAGAAATAAGTAGACTATTTTTACAAAATGTATTATGATTTGTATCTGCTTTCATTAAGTCATCATGCTCTTTCATTAGGATGGGCCAGATTAAAGAACAGAGCATTGTCAATTCTATATTGTTTTGATTATTCATACCGAAATATATGGCTTTTATCATATGATTTCCAAAATGCATGGTTTGGGGTTTGTTTATTAATTGCTAGACAGCTGCTGAGTTAGGACAGAGAATCTATAAAACACAGAATTTAATCTTGAGAGGCTTAGCCTTTTAGATGTTTGTCATCCCAAAACAACAAATAAGTCGATGCAGATCCACTGACTCGTGTGAAGTAAATGTGTGTCAAATCATTGGTATTGTACAGAGCTCATGTTCCATTCTTTGCAATGTGGGAGGCCATATGACTGTGTTTTCCCTCTGTTTCTAAATCTTAGCATGAGAGAGTAAGAATGAGAGGATGTCTAGAGTTGGAGTAGGTTCCACGTGAATTGTGTTCACTTTGGATACAGGCCCAAATGTACCCAAAAGTCACTTGAGTCCCCTGACGTTAACTATTCTCAAGGAGTCTCCCTAGAGAC